ATTTCAGTAAAAACAATGACTACTGAAAGCATCTTGTAGTCCGTAAACTGACTTTTAGAATGCTAGGTTGATAGTCCGTTTACACAACTCTTGAAAACAGTTTTAATGATTATTAAAATCCACTTCACCTTAATTAGTATTTTTACGCGGTTCTCTTTAAGTGTTCGAAATTAATAGATATAAAAACTAATTTGTAATTGTCTCTTAAGCAGCTTAACTTTTTAGTAGAGTGGAGCGTAGTTAACGGTGGAAAACTTTAACTGAACTGAAGGGATTGGTTGATGTTGAGTGGTAGTTCGCGGTGGATGAGGGTGAAAGGGAGTGGGTAGAAAGGTAATGGGTGCAGATGGAGAGAACAGTTTTCAGGTATTATTTGAGTTTATCAGGTTCAAAAGAATGGGATTATTGCTTTCTAGATTTGTTTCGTTTAAGTAAACGCCAAGTGTTTGTTGCATTTTTTTAGTGTGCTCACATAACTGCCTCTTCGAGATTTGTTATTGTATCTTCCAATGTCCATTTTCTAGAATCTAGCTTTTAAATTACTACCTATTTGTCCTATATAATATTTATGGTAGTCTTAGCAAGTAAACTAGTATATTTGACATTCGTACTGTACTGTACTAAAATAGATAAGTTGCTTAAGGTACAGTCCATTAGATCATGAAGTCAACAAAAGAAAATATTTGTATAAATAATTGTTTCGAACATTTACAGAGAACTACTTGAATATAATCAATAAAGGTCGAATCATGTAGTGGGTTTTTAAAAACCATTTTAACTATGATTAAAAATTGTTATGTCGGCGGAATTTTAACCTAACGACCAACCTACAACAGGATGCACGGCCCAAAACTTGTGTTCTAGAATGTTTAGCGCGTAGTCTGGTAGACTGACGTTTCAGAGGAGTTTATTGCCTCCATCATCTGATAGTTAGCTCCTCTAGTCTACTAGAAGACTCAGGAAAAGAACCCAGAAGACAGCCATCTTCATACTGATCGTGGAAATAACCTATCTCGCCAATTTTGGTAGAACTCGATTCAGCGATTACGGCCGCTGATCTCGTAGGGAGAGCCCAGTATGCGGACCACTCAAGGAAGGAAGGAAGGGAGGAAGGGAGGAATGGAGGGAGGAAGAGAGAGAGGTAGGGAGGGAGGAAGGAAGGAAGGAAGAAAAGAAAGAGTTTCCGTCGGTCAGTACAGTCTGTGTTAGTGCAGCAGTGTGGAAGCCTGACATTGTTGTCTTGTGACTGTGCCGTGTTAACAATACACCTGTTCGTTGCAATCTCCCTTCTGATCATTGATAACACCTCGTATCACAAAACTCAGACAGACAAACCACCGACATCTTACTCAAAGAAGGACTAAATTAAAGCCTGGCTATTAGAAAGAAGCATCCCATTTTGTAACAACATGTTGAAAGCTCAACTGTATGATTTAATCAAATTAAATAAGCCAAAGCACAAATGTTATGTGATTGATCAGATTTTGGCAGACAAAGGGCATACTGTGCTCAGACTTTCGCGCTACCATCACCATTTAAACCCCATTAAACTTATTTTGCCAAATTAAAACAATGGTTTGCAAGCTCGAACACAACATTTAAAATAAATGACGTCGAGAGATTCGAAGAAATTGGGCAAGAGGAATAGGAGAATGTATGTCGGCATGTGGAAAAACTAGAACAAATTTGTTATGAGCAAGACGGCATAATCGATTACTCTATTGAACGCATTATAATTGAAGATAATGGAGTGGACAGCAGCGGCGGCAGTGATGAATCAAGTGATATTTCAGAAAGTGAAGGTCTCTGAGGAGTGGAAGAATTTGAAGAGGACCGAAGAGTTGTGAAAAAGATGAAATTATCTAATAGTCTCTGCAGATTTAATTTCCAAGTGATGTGTGGTGTAGTGAAATCAACTTTCCTGTGTTAGATATCGTGGTGATACTTTATTTGGAATGTGCTGTACGCGGCCTGCTGCCACCCCTTCCAGGAAACTTCTGGTAAGTGAATCGCTCCAAGGTTCCAATTCACAAAGCTCAGCGGCCGAAAACGCTGGAACGCAGTATAACACTTCAGGAGCTCTTCATTTCCGGTAAGATTTCTGCATTGTAAACTGCTATCACCAGAACCTTTGTTGATTCATATGGGGTGCCTCAAGTCGACTGTTCCATCTGAGGAACAATCACAAGTCAGACAGGGCTAAGTCATATGAAAAAGTGTGGGAGCACTAAAAACCATTTCTTCAGTAAAAGAGACCGAGTTCACAGAAATGAGGCACAAGCGCTTCTTATGACACACAATGACTGACTGTCGAATCATGTTAATGTGTTGAATAACAGGCATTCTTTCGATTGTACGGGCTCTAGGAAGTTTGCTTTTTTTCTTCTAAAGGTTGACAGCACATATATGCCTAATAGCAAACCTAAACACGCCCTTCAGTCCTACTTTGAGTTAAAATAAACTCATTATCACAAATGTCAAAGAAAATTGCTGCATCTGGAACAATAATATTGAGCCGGCGTAGCTCAGTCAGTATAGTAACTGCACTTCCGGGGTTCGATCATCTCCGGGGGCAGAGGATTTTCCTCTAGCCCGTGCATCCAGACAGGTTCTGGGGCTAATCCGGCCTCCTGTTCAATGGGTACCGGGGTCCTATCCTGGTGAAAAATAGCGGTCGGGACGTAACGCTAATCCCTCACTCCCATCTAGTGCCGAGGTCAAGAATGAGTAGGAGCTATACCTCCTCTCCCCCAAGCGCCTGAATAGCGTGTAGTGGGACAGCTTTTCTTTACTTTACTTATTAGAAACAATAAAAGATACAGTTAGGCCTAATGTGCGGCAATGTGGCAATTATTTTTTTACAAGTTATTCGTAAGTATGAACGAGTATGCTAAGTTTGGAATGCACCTTCTATATCGTTTTGCATATGAAACTGTTTATTTCATTATATAAATGAATGTTGTATTGACTTTCCATGAAATGGTAAATATTTGCATAACGTTTATTACGTCTCATCCATACGGAAGTAAAAATTTACTGCAGTACATTATACATGACTCTTTGCTGTTGGAGGTATTACCCTATAATGATCTCGTTTGCATGTCGCTTGGTGACATTCACACCATCTGGATTAGATTTTCTCTTACGAACTGAAATGATTTTATACGCATTGCTGAATCCAGTGAGTCATATCAAGCCCTGAACTGACTGTAAAATAAGTTAATAAAATTCTTGTGAAGAAATCTCCTGTTTTTGGGATCCGAAGGTTCATTACTGTTTTAATAAAACTCAAAATTTAACCCTACCCTATTCAAGTTAAATCTATACTATCATTTCACATTCTATTTCTCAGGTGTGCTCTCTTTCTGCAGTTAGCTCGATTCTTAGTTGCTTTCTTAGAATATATTAGTAGGTGTGCTAATAATTTTGTTAACTAGAGCAGGGCGCTCCTTTCGGAGCTCCTAGGGAGGGTTGGTCAAGTTTGTAAAACGCCACCAACCTTGTGTAAGAAACTAAACTAACCGCCCCGAATTGAGGATTAAAACAATTGACCAACCTCTGCGTTTTGAAATCTTAAGTAACACGCTAAACTAACTCCCCTTCGGGGGGTTAGTTTAGTGACTCATTTAAGTGTTTTAACCCCTGAGTAAGAAACTAAACTAACCCCCCGGATGGGGGGTTTAAACACTTGACCAACCCACCTTTGGTGGGGCTGGTTGCGTTTTAAAGTCTTGAGTAAGACACTAAACTAACCTCCCCTTCGGGGGGAGGGAGTTTAGTGTCTCATTCAAGTGTTTTAGCCCTTGAGTAAGAAACTAAACTAACCGCCCCGAATGGGGGTTAAAACACTTGACCAACCCCCTTCGGAGGGGTTAGTTGCGTTTTAAAATCTTGAGTAAGAAACTAAACTAACCGCCCCGAATGGGGGTTAAAACACTTGACCAACCCCCTTCGGAGGGGTTAGTTGCGTTTTAAAATCTTGAGTAAGAAACTAAACTAACCGCCCCGAATGGGGGTTAAAACACTTGACCAACCCCCTTCGGAGGGGTTAGTTGCGTTTTAAAATCTTGAGTAAGAAACTAAACTAACCGCCCCGAATGGGGGTTAAAACACTTGACCAACCCCCTTCGGAGGGGTTAGTTGCGTTTTAAAATCTTGAGTAAGAAACTAAACTAACCGCCCCGAATGGGGGTTAAAACACTTGACCAACCCCCTTCGGAGGGGTTAGTTGCGTTTTAAAATCTTGAGTAAGAAACTAAACTAACCGCCCCGAATGGGGGTTAAAACACTTGACCAACCCCCTTCGGAGGGGTTAGTTGCGTTTTAAAATCTTGAGTAAGAAACTAAACTAACCGCCCCGAATGGGGGTTAAAACACTTGACCAACCCCCTTCGGAGGGGTTAGTTGCGTTTTAAAATCTTGAGTAAGAAACTAAACTAACCCCCCGAATGGGTGGTTAAAACACTTGACAACCTCCCCTTCGGTGGAGTTAGTTGCGTTTTAAAATCTTTAGGGAGACTAAACTAACCTCCCCTTCGGGGGGAGGGAGTTTAGTGTCTCATTCAAGTGTTTTAGCCCTTGAGTAAGAAACTAAACTAACCCACCCGTAACTAAGAAACTAATGCTAATTCGATGATGCCGGCTGACACTGATTCACTATGAATGTAGGCCGCACCCCCTAGCGGCAGAAGCTCGTACTACATCCGGTGCGCCCTCTATTGACACAGTCTGGAAACTTTCTGATCGCACCTCGTAATCTGCAAACCAGATACTGTGCACCTGTTTTCCATTAATTTTTCTTAGAATAAACAGTGATAATTTCTCTCAAATGCACAGCTAACTGATATTCGTAACAGACACACGTTTAATTGTCTTTGAGGTATAAACTGCATTTTAAGTATTATTTACTGCTTACTTAAACCTCACAACAATAATGAATCACAACAATGCCGAGTAAACAAATATCTGTTGACATTGTTGATGACGTCATTTATTGAAGACAACGAGGAATCACAATTTTTTATAGTAAAAAAGAGAGAAGAAGAAGATACGAGTGATTCAATTGTTGTTAAATTGCTAGGGTTGGGTTGGATCTGTCTTCTTTGGCTCTGTTCTTAGTCGGTTGTGATGTGTAATCCATGTTTTCATTGTTAAAATACTATAGATATGAATTTGTTCATCTTCTCTCCAAAGTTAGATATTTGTTTTGTTTTCCCTTCATTTCATCTTCCCCCGATTAAGAAATTTACCCTCCCATATTTATTTTTGATTGTGTTTCTTCTAACCAAAAACTTTAACTCCTAAAATACAATTACCTACATTGTTAATATCCTACCTTTAAACAGCTTACTTGATAGTAACTAGAGCAACGCGATCCTTAGGAGCGCTTGCTCTAGAGTCCTTGTCGTACTTTCTCGATAATTTTGCGTTTTTCGTCTGTCGGTTTCTGTTGATATTTAATACTTCGTTTTTAAGCGTGTTCTTTTTTTACGTGTGTTGTTAATATGATCTCGTTTATCAATGTAAGTCTTCTTTAGATTTTCTTTATTTGTTAAATATGTCTGATATTTTAGTTTTTACGTTGCTGTTCAGAGGCCAAATGTGCTTGGTCAGTCAACTTTCTACGTCCAACTCCACCCTTGCAAATCTTCGTCTTAAAATCGATCATAAAGTCAGTTTTCGTAATAGTTTTCGTAATCGTAATATATCGAATGAGTAGTACTAGTAGTATTAGTACTATGAGTTTACTTTCTTGTACTTCAAATAGTTGATAACCTCTAAACATAAATCCGCGTGGATCTTTTTTGTGTTTGTTGACGGATTTAGATCAAATCACGCTTTAGGATACGTTTTAATTGACAGTAGCTTATCCTCCAATAACGTAACATTAAAACAAATCACTGTTGATTATAAAAAAGTTGTGATGAACGTCGGGACAAATCTACGCAGAGCTACACTTAATTAAAAGATTCAATATATATTAAAAGAGGTATAACAGTGAGAGAGGCGTTAGATCGTGACTGTTCTGCCCCCTGTAAGGAATAAAATGAACTCAAGTTGCCGAGTAAACAAATGACGTGAGTGGATTGTGCCTTTATTTGTATAAATAAATGTTTGTAGCCTTACTGTTACTATGTGTTACTAGCCTTGTAATCCTCGGGCCCCGGGTTCAATTCCCGGTGGTGCTCAGATTTATAACTTGTGTTGGGCAAGGCCGTGGTCTAGGTATCACGGAGTTTTCCTCCGGGGGCTCCCCTGTTTCTCCGTGGCATCCCAACAATTACTCCATTCACACATACACAGAAGAAGGCAATGGCAAACCAGTTCTGATCATCTGCCAAGAATGTATATATGTATGAACGGGTCTCTGACATCCTGAAGAGGATGGAAGGACCCTGTTCATAGTATATGGACCTGTCGTCAGACAGAACACTAATAATAATAGTAATAATAGGACCTAAACCATTTGTGATATGTAAAATCTGAAAACACATATGGAAAGCTCAAGAGGTAATACGTATTTCGTACGCAACATGTCCGATCCATCTCTTACGGTTTTCGAGAGGCGGGCGCTTAACGCGGCAGATGCATTGAAAATTGTACACATTGGTTCATTGAAATTACAATAACTGTATAAACAATTTTAATTACAATAAAATACATTACAGATTCTTAAATGTCCTTATTTACTGATCATTTTACACATAGTTTACATCACCCTTACTTTTACCATTCCTGAGGAATGAACATTTAAAGTGACTCGAAGCTGGATCTTACACATCTTCATAACTAACGCTGTTTGATGACGTAACTGTTTGGCGACGACGGGGAATCACGTATTTTAGTGTAAGAAAGAAGAAAAGCGTTATCTGTTTAAATTTTATAAAAGGCACACTGAAATTAATTATAGATTGATTGTGGAGTGCAGGTTCGGATAAATGTGAGTGGAAAATGAGGTGACACTGAATTTTCCAAGCTGTCATCAAGCAAGAATTCAGTGAAACTAAATCTTCCAATCAATCCGACAGGTTGGATCTACTAAAATGGAATATTCCAAGTTATCCAACAGGGTGAGTCTAGTGAAATTGAATTTTAGAAATTGTGATATAGAACGAGTCCAGTAAAATAAGATCTTTCAAGTTATCTGACAATATAAGGGTAGAAAAGCTACATTTCTCGAGCTACATGACAAGACAAATCTTGGGAAACAGAATCTTTCAGGCTATCTCGTAGAATAGATGTAGTAAAAGAAATTTCCCAATCTCTCGAAAAGGATGAGTTTAAATTCTCGGGTGCGTCACTTTTTTTTAAATTTAATACAGTAGTACTTTTCTGCTCTCGTTTTCCGAATTACGTAAAGTAACCTCACGTTAAGTGGATTTATGTTTCTAAAAATCCGGCCTTCCCGATTGAACAAAAGTTAAATTTTAAAATCCGGCCAGTCATGACAAAGGAGAGTGTTTGTGTTTGTTTGTCATTTTCGAGTAACACACTTACATGTTTAGTCTCCGAAGCCACATAATACTTCGGCGGGCTATATGCTTTAAATCTGCAGGATTAATTCACTTTGGTTCGTGTCGTATGCACTTGTTCCTTCTTGTCTTCATGAGAGGGGCAGTGTGTGTGTAAGACACCACCATCACACGTGTTGCAACTGACAGTTTACTTATTTTAAATTACTTCCTGCTCATTTCATTTCACTCTTGGCCATCTTTCTACCTTACGCGGTTCTATTAATCTTACTTGTTTTGCAGCCCCTAGTTATTACTGTCCCCTTACGCCCTCGCAGATTGATCACTGTAACTATGGATAACTAGGCACCAGCTGCAATGCATCATGGGTAAAAGTAATGGATAATTCTACTTCTGTGCTGGAAGTATCATATATATTCCATTTATAATAGTTGAAATTTTTGCTTCGGCCTCAGTGGGTACGCGGTCTGAGGTATGGAACTCGTGCGCCTGACCGCTTGGACAGTGGGTTCGTCCCACTCAAGGCATGGATGTTTGTCCACGTCTTTCTGTATTTGTATAGGTAGAGGCCTTGCGTCGGGCTGATCACTCATCCAAGGAGTCCTACCATTGTCCAAATAAGATCAAGAAAATGAATAAATAAAAACCTCGACACCTACGGGTAAAAGTGGATGACATAAAGAAAGAAAGAAAGAAAGAAAGAAATGTTTGCTACAGAGAAAGTTTTATTTTTTGTTTTCCGTAGATTGCTACTTGTTGTTCAGACATTCTGCAGATGGTAGCGAAACATGCTCATTAATTACGGAATAGATATGCACAAATATGTCCAGCTTAAGGTGTAAAGGAAGTATCAGTATCGACATTCAGGTTCATTTAAGCTTAAGTACTAATCATTAGTTTCTTATGAGTGCGAAAATTGGTCAGCGAGTCATAGGGAACAAAATAGTTTGAACGTTCTTGACAACAAAGTGCTGAGAAGAATATTTCGGCATAATCAAAATAAGGTTAAAGAAATTTTAAAAATTTATCTGAAAAGTTTGTAATTTGTATTTGTGTGTTCTAATCAAGAGGGCAGAATAAGCAGTATATACGGAGTAAATAACGAATAAATCGAAATTGTTGATCGGAAAATCTCAAATGCAAAGACAGTTGGAAAATGCAGGAGTAAGGGATAATAATCTAAAAATGGATTTTAGATAAGCAGTATGTAAGAGCGTAAATTAGATTGAATTGGATCAGAATATAATCAGATAGTGGGCTTTCACCAAAATGCCGTTGAACCTCTTGCTTCTATAAAAGAAAAGAATTTATGAACCAGCGGGTCAATAAATATTCCAATGAGAAATCTCACAACTGCATTGATCAATTTCTTACTTAGAAATAAATCATTATTTGGCGAATTAATTACGTTATTAGGCAACATTAATTAGTTCATACTACTTCGAATCAATTAATCAGCCGTACCCAAATCTGACAATCTGAGTACTGCAATTATTTCCCATAGTAAATGTTGCTTATACATAAATTTGCTATAACGACCGACAACACTCGGATGGAAATTACATTAGGCCGTACAGGGACCAAAGCACGTAACTACCTGGTACATTTGTCACATTTCTCACGCAGTTTCGTGTTTGTCTTGTTGTATATTTTTATAATAAAGCGCTGCTTCTTAGTTTAAGCGGGTTAAAGTTATTTGTATTTGCAAGAAACTCAACTGTGATTATTGTACGGTCTAATTAATTGAGCACCATGTAATGCTTTAAAATTTTATTAGAGTAAGCGGTATAACGGTAGGGAAAATTTTTCCTGGATATTATCCACAGGCTGAACCAAATTAGTGTGTCATGTATGTCGTGTCTTTAAACAAAATGACAGGACCCATATCCTGATCTCCTTTCCATCATATGAAAAAACCTTTTCATGTGTGCGTGTTTATGTATTTATAAATAAATATAAATAAGTATACTTCTCTAAGTAGGGGGGGGGTGTAATCAATAAATAATTCCAGTCAGTTTTCTGATAAATGAAAGCAGTTAGATGCTTTCAGATTTTTAGCCCCCCAGTGCTTGATCGAGTGATGTGAAAAAATCGACGTACATAATTTGCTTCTGGTACAGATAACTGTATGTTTGTTTGCATTTGTTCTGTGTTGCCGTGATGTAATAGTTTTAATTTAAATATCTGAGGCGAGGAAATTAGAAATTTGAATTCTATACTTTAAGACGACATCGATGTGTCCACAGTTTGTAACCTAAGCTATGTGCCTAACACTCAGAAATAATACAACACATTTTATTCAGTCATTTCCCTTTTTACTTTAGTCACTTTCTGCAGCTTAAATAGTGACCATCATTACTGCTATGGTTGGGCAATACCTTTCAATGATACTCTTTAAGTTACACTTAATACAATATTTGTGCTATGTTGAACGCTCTTCATACTGCATATATGTAGGGAG